TAAATCATATCATAATTTATGTATGGGAGGTATAGCAATTTTTCTGTGTTTATTTCCCATTTGTACTCCTTTTGTGAATTTTTCAATTGACTTTTGCTTTTATTGATTTGTAGGAACTCTTTACGGGTTATGAAAATCACTCCGTTTTTAGTCCATATACTGAGAAATTCCCCACTTAGTCAATCCCTTTCCTTTGAAACCCTTGCAGTACATAAAGCTTAAGTCTTTGTAATCAAAGTCATTGACCTTTTTTTAAAAAAATATTTTAATCAGGAAGGGCCTGGCTGTGAGCGTGAAGGAGGGTGGCTGTGGGTGCTGAGCGCTTCCCTGGCTCTGCTGACACTGCGACCTGGGATTTTCTGGCTCTGTGGATTTTGATGCCCCAAAGTCATATAATGCAGGACATCCTTTGATTGCATCACTGGGAGGCTTTTACAGCTATTATCGCTATTGTTACTAGCACTGTTGAGTTAAAAAAAAACAGATTATAGAAGAACAACCATGCTGGCCTCGGTGATGAGTAAGAAGGCACCCTAGGGTGCAGCACAGGGAGTCCTCCTAGGCAGGAGATTGAAGGGCACTGTTTTATTTTCTTCTGCGATTTGTAAATGTTGTGTATTAAGCTGTATCCTTTTTAAGATCAGAAAAAAAAACACATTTTCACTGAGCAAAAATGTTCTTCAAATCCAGTTATAGACGAATACAGGGTAGATCTTTATGTTAGATGATGAAACGGCTGAAGGGATGATAAGCCCGGGGAATCTTTTTTTTTTTTTTGTACCGGGGATCAAACTCAGGTCCTTGAGCCTTGGAGGCAGGCGTCGGCACCACTGAGCTACATCTCAGGCCCAGCCAGGGGATTCTTATCCCGAAATGCCAAGGTGAAGACAGAGTGCAGCCCCGTAGGACATCGTGTTGGCCATCCGTGACAGAAACGTGCCCACGAAAGGAAGAGGTGGAGAGATAAACGATCACGATGAGTGGGTTTGAACAACGGCTCTAGGCATCTCCCCTCCACCCCCATGTTTCTTTACTGACCACCTTCGCATGATTTAAAAGTGAAAATAAAAGAGAACGCTAATATTCCCGCCATTTATGCGGGAGAGAAGAGAGATTCTGGCGGCCCCGTCCCAGCGTGCGGAAGCCACAGAGCCGGCCTGGGTGTGCTGAGCTTCCCGCGTCTGGAGGGAAGGTGAGAAGCCAGCTGGCCTAGGAGAAAAACCGCTTCCATAATCAGTCCAGCAGGCTTTGCTGCTATGGGCTTCAAAGCTGAGGAGAGAGAAATGCAGACACACAGTCCGATATTTCCGTGAATATGAGAAGTCTCAGCGGTCAGGAATAGATTTTTAGTATACGTGAAAAGTCCACAAAATGTCACACTTTGAATTTTGCTGTTGAGACTGATTCCAAGGCTGTTCTGTCCTGGGTGATGGCGGCGTGCGTGTGTCCACATTTTAGAGATCTATCAAATTCCCCGTGGGCCCGGCCACACCTGCAAGGCACAGATGGTGGCAGGGTGAATCCTGAGCTTTGTCCTACACTCAATGCTCTTGCTGAGCTCAGCAGACAGATACGAAAACAACAGCTTGCTTCTTTCCAGGTAGCACACGCGTGCAAAGTCCGAAGCTCCAGTGCATTTCCCTCTGTGCGGCTCTCAGGCTCCTTAGAAGATTCTGCACCCCAAACAGGCAGGCGAGACAACTGGCTGGATCTTCCTCTTCCTCTTCCTCTTCTTCTTCTTTTTTGTAGCTCAGGCTGTCTGCAAACTCGCTGTGTAGCCCAGGATGGTCTCGCGGCGATCCTCCTGCCTCTGCCTCCTGCATGCTGCGATCATGGATGTGCGCCCGCACGCCCAGCTGCGGCTGTCGGTTTCTTTCCCTGGCGGACTTCACACCTTTTGGTTCAGCGTCCACTTCCGCTGTGCTTGGGCGAATCCCAGACTCGCAATAATGCCTCATCGCGTCAGTGCCTGCCCTCTCCTGTGAGCTTCCTGTCGAAGTACTGGACTGCAGTTGCTCTGCTCTCTCACCCACTGGAGAATTTTGATTTTCACTCTATTTCATTGCTGCTCCTTTTTGCAGTGTCAGAGCCAGGTCCTTCTTGACATGGGGCTGGAGGGCTTAGGCACCTCTCTAGGTGTTTTAGCTCCAGAGCGCCCTCTTCAGTCGGGACGCGGAAGTACATTTCACGAGGTACAGCGTCTTTTCTTCAGGGGTGGGGCTGGAGAATTGTGGGTTTTATTTATTTATTTTTAATCTTTAAAAATCAGTAATGAAATCTCTATTAAACTTTTTTTTGAGTTGTGTGTTTTAGATTTCATGGAACCCTGATACACCAGTTGTCTTCTATTACATATGCGGTTCGTGTGGGCGTCCTCTGGCCCAGGTGTGGTTTTCTGTTCATCCTGGACTCCGCATTTCCACAGATAAAACGAATATGGAACGCCCCACACCCGCTCACCACCGGGAGGAAGAACACGAGCGACCTCCACCTACAGGCAGTGCTGCCTGCCAGTGACACCGACTTCTGACTCGCTGCGTTCTGCGGTTGTCACGGCTGCAAATCCTGCCATCCGACCCTGAGCGCCCGACCCCTGGCTCGGTAGGCGTCTCACGGCCAGGACCCTCATCCCAGTTCCTGTTTCCTCCAACCTGGAGATCCCGCATCCGCCTGGACAGAGCTGCTGCTTGGGCTGCACAACACTTAGTTTATTAGAAGTGGGAGCCAAGCAAGGCGGTGCACACACCATGCCGCCTGCTCGCACACTCACACTGCCCATTACAGGCCGTTGCCTTCCTCGCTCAGGCAGGGTCCCCTCCTGGGTCTTCGCTCTCTGCCACCTGGATGAACTCCCCGTGGCAGGGAGCCACGCGCCACGCCCATCTCCTGGCTGAAGCAGGTTGAGGGCGCCCTGGACGGCTGCTGCCTCAGTCCCTGGAGCGGAGGGGCGCACGGAGACTGGGCTGTGACCGAAGGGCTGCACTGTCACTGCTGGGCCCTGGGAACTAGTCCGCTAGAGCTGCCCGGGTTGTGGCAGCGATACGACCAGGGCCCCGGGGCCTACCAAAGCCCATTTTTGTTCTCAGGCCACCACAGCCTGGCTGCCAGAACTAAGAGCGACCCCACCTCAAAAGACTCCATCAAATCAAACTTGTGGGTGGGGTGGCAGGGAGCGCAGAGGCCGGGGATGAAGCAAAAGGAACCCCGATCTCCACCCTCGGCCTCCGACCGTCACCAGGCCCAGGCACCGATCCTGCACCTCCTCGTCCGCAGCCAGAAATCGGGCTGGTTCACAGACAGGCTGGCACTGGCCCTACGGTAAAAGTTTACCTCTCACTGCCAACTACCAACAGCTGTACAAACACTAAATGCACAGACCAGTCATAAGCAGAAGAGAAAACTTTATTTCTATCAAATTGAAAAGTAGGAATCAACCTTTAGGCCAGATGACCAAAACGATCAACCATACAATTAACAGTGAGGCTGGAGGACAGACAGGGTGAGAGGCTTGGAATTAATGAAGCACAAAGTCGAGGGGCACCACCTGCACACAGGGTGAGGCTCTGACTCACCGCAAACTCGGGCCCCGAGGAGCTGCACCTCCCAGGACAGTGAGTCCTGTGCGGGGTCCCTGGGCCACAAGACAGGCGAACAGGTGTATAAAAATCAGTAGTACAAATTCTCATAAACTAGAAAAGCGCTGAGCCCAATACTCCTTGCTGAGTTCCCATTTTTCTTCCCTTTTTGTCCAAATACAGAATGGCTTGTACTGGGGGGAATCTGAAGGCAGGCTCCTCCTCTGACCTCAGTGGGAAATCTATTTCAAGAGCCTGATTGTCACCAGAGGACAGAGTTCACATCCTGCCACGCCCCTCACACACCGCACACGGGGTGACTAAACCCAGGGACACCCCAAAGCGTACAAGTAATGGCATTTATTCCAGCGAGAACTGTGCAACTGCTATAAGACAGATCAGATCATCGGGGAACCACTGAGTCTTAAGTCTCAGCAGGCGCAGAGAGCTGCTGAAATACGGCACCGTGGTGGGAGCACCTCCTCCGGAAGCCAGGCCGCGACGGCACTCAGGACAAGAGTGACAATTTATGACCAGACCACACGCTCACGTTGAAGAAGTGTCCGACTCCAGGTTCTTCTTTGGAGACACCAGGGGCCCTAAGAAGCCACTAAAACTGGATGCGGATGAAGGAAGCAGCTCCGCCTCTGAACAACTCACCTCTCCCTTTGGAGCTGCCCCACTGCCGAAGACAGGAGGCCTCGCGTCCCGCAGGAGGGCAGAGGGGAGAGCTCAGGGAGCAGGGACACCGCAAGCACAGCAACCACTGGCCCGGCGCCGGGAGGAGCTTCAGCCCGGGAGAGGGGAGGGAGGGAGGCGGTTTGAACCCCTCGTGAATCACAGACGGGGCGATTTCACGGTCTAAAGCCAATGCGATGCGGGCATTGGGCTAATGTCCACGGCGCCGGGCAGCGCTGACCACGTCACGAGACGACGCCTGACCCCGAGGACCTGCCAAGGGCGCCCCCTTTCACTCGCGGGGAGTATCGGCCCCTCGAGCACCTCCTCCTCAGACACAGCCAACGTCAAACAGGGAGCCTGGCTTACAGTGAAGGGAATTTTATCAAAACCCATTTTATGGGTCGGGGCAGGTGTCTTTCTGCCTCAAACTGTCCCACCTCAGCAGCTCAAAATGCACGAAGAGGCCCGCGGTGGCAGCACCCCCAAACCGGCCCTTGGGGCCCCCAGGCGACAGGGGCGAGGGCCCCACGTGCGGCTCCGAGCGAGAGGCGGG